TGCCTTGATTCTTGGATCATGATTCCAACAAGTAACAATGATTTGAGAAATAAATTCTTGTGGTGCTGCTTTACCTGACATAATAGAAAGATATTCTAATAACGTCATAAACCAATTTAACATAATATAAAATGATAAAACAATTCCACCAACAGCATCTAACCACCAAAAATAATAATATCCAACGATTGACATACACATACCAAATGTATTAGTTAAAATATCATTTCTATGATCATCAGCTAATGCCCCTGCAGCAGGATTATTTACTGTTCTACAATATAAGTATAAACAACATTTGAGGAAGATAGTTGCACCAATTACACATATAGGAAACATAGACATTTCAAAGTCTGAACTTCCAGACAATAAAGTTTGACCTGCATTTGTTAATAATTGAATTGTTGCTGTAAACATAGCTGTAGCAAAAACAATAATACCTAAAGGTTCCATTCTCTTTTTACCAATTGGATATTTAATTGGATTAGGTTTTTTCATAAGTAATGCAGTAATAAACATAACAGCTCCAGAAACAATATCAAGGCATGAATCTAAAGCACTTGCAATAACAGTTAATGATCCTGAAACTATAGCAGCAACAATTTTGACTATACATAAACACAAATTAACAATGAAACTTCCATAAATTGCTATTTTTGTTCTCCAGTCAGTAATATCATCTTTATCATCAACTGGTACTTCAAAGAGAGAATCAACAAATTTATTTTGTTTTTCATAAAATTTCTTTAATTTCTTATTTTGTTTAGTCATTGGTCTTGAAAATTTATCTTTTTCTATTTTCCAACTATCATCTATAGGATAATACTCATTTGTCTTAGATGGCTGCATCTCAATTTCTTTGTCACGAATAATTTCTAAGTCTTCACTATTCTCTCGTTGCATCATTCAACTCCAAAATGTTAGTTCGTTTCATTTGAGTATTAATTCCACCTTTTGTTTTATATAACAGATTTAACGAAATTATTGAAAAACCTAACACAACAATTTGTTATGAGAAAAATCAGAAAATAGCCATTTTTCTCTATAAAACAACTTGTTGCATGAATGTCAATTCCTTGAATGAACTTAAAGAACTAAATTCTCAACTTTTTTATTAAGAATGTCTGACCCACAACCATCTCCTTTGTTCTTTCAAAATTTTCTCAAAAAAGTACTTGAGTTGTTAACTAAGTCAACTGTTTCGTTACAAATTAACATTGAGGATTACTACCATTATTTATCTACACAAATTCCAATTCTTCGTTGGGTTGAATTAGAATATTGTATTAAATATCCTTTGAAAATTCTTCAAATAGATCAACAACATATGCCATTGTTTCAATTTCCCAGAATGGGTGAATGTAAAGCGTATATCTCTTTTATTGATAAATTGCCAGAGTCACAAAGGACTTTATTAATAAAAAAGATATCTCAATTACCGATGTCAATTCATGTCCCTGCGTTAGTGGTTGTTGGAAATGAAGTAATTCCTGATTCAATCTCTTGGAAAACACTTTGTGAAACAATTTCGGTTTATGAACTTCCAACACAAAATTGTAAAACAATCATATCTCATCTTCGCAAGTTCATCGAAGGAAATATACCACCCATTACTGGTCCAGTGACATTAACACAGGCATTAATTCAACAAGGTGTTGAACCGAAAAGTGCTATTTGGGAGCTTTTTAAACAAAATTCGACTAAAGCCCAAATTTCTTTAGAAAAAAGTATCAAATTTCCTGAATGTAAAAATCCTTCCGAGCAACAAGATAGGTCTGAAACTGTTGAAAGATCTGTAGAAACACCAAATAGGTTTGACAATGGGTTTACTGCACAAAGACCTGACTTTCCTACAAAAGAAAAAACACAAAGAGAGTCACAAAGAGAAATAAGAGATGTAATTCGAGAAGCAATTAACTCAAGAGAAGTACAAAAAGAATCAATACCACAAGAAAGGTTAACTGTTAGAGAACCATTCCAACAAAGAAATTTAGTTGATATTCAAAAACAATCAGTTCAACAACATAGACCTGAAGTATTTACTGAATATCAAACAAATGGACATAGGAGAGATTCTATACCATATAATAATTCTTACACAAATGAACCTCTTCCTTTTCTCAGAAGAGATAGTTTTGGTCAATATCCAACCCAAAGAACTTTTAGAAGCTCAAGTGGTTATACTCAGAATAAACCAGTAGATGTTAATACTTCTATGGAACACTTTGACCCATTACTTAATGTAAAGAAAAGAGATCTTCAAGCCAATGAAACTGGGCAACTAACACCATTGGATTATGATAATGTTATTGATGTGTTAAATGAACAACCAAAACTGAATTTACTATTTGACTGATGTATAGAAGTGGTTCTTTACTATTTTTATTTTATACAATACTTTCATTTATTATTTTCTTTTCAGTTAATATGTTATAATTCATTGTATAAAATTATCAATGAAATTTCAGTTTTTAGATAGATTCTAAAAATAAAAAATTCAATTAATTCTATTAAACAATACAAATTTCTATTAAATACTCATTCTAATGTTTTATACCATAGCACTTATTCTATTCTTTCATTCATATTTTTTTTGTTCATTAAGAAAGAAATAAAAGATAATAAAATATTTTTATTGTTATATAAATAATGATTTTATCTTGATTCATTAAATAATATTCCAATAAAATATTTTAAGAATTTATTTCCATTATTGTTATTCAAATAAGGTTCGTTATTAATAATATCAGAATACATAACTAGAAAAATCTGATGCATTTGATTCTTGCAAAAGTATATTAAAATAATAATAGATTCATTAAGTACTTTCTTATTCTATACAACCATCAGAAGACTCATTAAATATTAAAACTAAAATGATAATTGAATTATAAAAACAATTCTGTCAAGAAAGAGTATTCATTTCTCACTATAAAAAATAATTAGGTGGTTATAAAAATAATTAAACAAAAAGTTTATTGTAAATATTAAAATAGAATGTATATTGTTTTTTTTATTGAGATGAAAATGATTATATTTCATTTGAAATACATCAACTATTTATTAGACAGTTTATGAACAGAGTGATATACTTTCTATTACTTCATAGTATCTAACGCAGTCAGTAATATTACAATTCCTTTTTATAATAGTTTGTCTAGGAATTTTCATGAAGAAGATGAGTGTATTTATTTTAATAACATAATGACTTAATATTGGTATTGGGTTATAACTAAGTGGCAAATGAATAAACTTTTCGTTTCAAACTATAGAAAATAATTTCAAACATTTTTAAAATATTTTAATGTTGATTTGTTTTAACTAATTAACTTTTTCTCTTGCATTACTGCATGTTTATTTATTCAAAGTTATAAATTAAAACATGTATTTAGTTATAAGTTGATATTGTTAATTATGCACTTCATTCAATTTATCCATTTCTTAAATTAGCTAACAACCAGTCTTTGCTTTTTTTCAATATTATCGTTAATGTAGTATTTAATACATTTTCTTAAATAGTACCATTAGTGCTTTACAGTCGCTTGTTTATTTTTATCATTTTCTTAAAATTTATTTATCTCTATAAAATTGAATAGCGTTTTTAATATATTTAATGATTTACATAATATATTTAATGATTTACATCTTTATGGGTTATAATATTTTAAATTTGCCTATTATTTTTATTTCATCGTCTTTAGAGCTTTCTTCCTTCTGTAATTCACCGAATTAAAAACTTTATGATTATTCTATAATTGTTTTTTTTTTACTTTTTAGTTGTTTATTGGTTTATTTGCACCCTCCAAACTAGAGCATTATTTTTACTATTTACCTTCTTATTCTTCTTCTTTTAGAATATGTAATAGCAATTTTTAATTTCATTGAATTATCTAGATGGACTTAAACAGTTACCAAACACATTTTTTTTAGTATGTTCATGATAAAACATCTTTCAAAATACAAAACAACCACAGTAGACAAATGTTAATTTATATTATAATTATAATTAAATAATATTATATTTTTTTGTACCTCTTATATAGAATCTTCTACTTTTAATGTTTGAAGCACCCAAATTGTCAAACAATATTTATAGAAACCTAGTCATTCAGCAATAGAAAGAATTTATACAAAAGAATAAAAAAAGATTTCGAGAAGAGTCGAAGTAGACAAACAAATCTGTCATTTTTTAAAATAGATAAGACAAAAATGACTTGAGAAAACCAATTAAAAAAAAGTATCTTCTATACATTAAATTTTGAAATAAAAATATAAATATATTCTGAGATTAGCATTCTGAGATATTTTAATGACCACACACACTTCAACTGAATCCTGCTTGATAATACAATCAAAAGAGAGGATTATTACTGTTGAAGATTGGAATGGATTGAGAAGTTGTACTTACTATTTTTGGTCTTCTGTTAAAGATACTTTCTTTTTTGTAAAAAGATTAGTACTATCCTTCAAACACCCTTTGCAAGCATTGAAAACTCTCTTTACTAGTCCAATTATTTGTTGTTTTATATTTATGATTATTTGTGGATTACTTAATGGCTTATCAATTTCTTTTGCACAAGAATTTCAAAGACAATGGTACAGATCACATCCAACAGTTCATTTTAAAGAATTTGTTTTGGATGATCTTCTTTTTTTTGTCTTTTCCTTTAGAGATTTGATTGGATTTGCAGATAAATATCTTGGTTTTCTTGTTGTAGTAATGGTATTTAGATTCCTTTTATGTAAAGGAAGATTAATAGTATTAAGACGGTTTGTTACCTTGATGGGAGTAATGTTCTTAATGAGAATAATTTGTGTTTATATGACACTATTAAATGATCCTTCTATCAATTATTCAACAGCAACAGGTAATCCATTAGTTGAAAGTTTTCTTATTTCAGGAGGTATTCATGTATCAACAGTAGATAAAATGTTTTCAGGACATACTGGTTCAATAACATTAACTGGAATGTTTCTAATTTATTATCATGATCAATATCCTATTTTTCATTCTAAAAGACTTCATTACTCATTATCTTTAACATTCAAAATTATTGTTCTTTTATATGTTGCATGTGGTTTATGTTTATTTACTATAGTACGTATTCATTATACTTCAGATGTATTTGTAGGACTTATTTTAGCTTCAACAATTTTTTGTCTCTATCATTCTTATATTCCACTTGCACAAACAAAAAATAATATTTTTAATTGTATTCTTTGTTGGATTGAGCAAGATGCCGATGATATTCCAAAAATTCAATTTATTAAACAAGAACCAATTCAAAATAATACAACATTATTAGAGTCAATTGAATTAGAATAAAAAAAAATACTTAAAGAATTAATTCCTTATTTTTATGGTTCTGTTTTGTTCATACAAAAATTTGATTCAAAACGGAGTTAAAAAAAGAAATCAAATTATACAAGACGATTATTAATTCTAGTGGGTTTGAATTAAATTTCCAAATGGAATATATTTTGTAATTTCATCTGTAAAGGCTTCTAATACTTTACTTTTTAGTCCAAAAAACTCCATTAATGAAATAATACCATTTAAAATAGAAGTTGCCATTAAAATTTCAAGGTCTTTCATTTTATTCTTTAATTCTATTTGAATTGAATTATAATTTAAAACCATTTGATTAGGTTCTTCATAAATTTCCTTTTTACTTTCTTTTAATCTTCTTTCTAATATAAGTTTCCATACTTCAATTTTTATTGGAATTTTACGTAATTTAGTAATAAGTTTTTGTCCAGAAGCAATTGCTATTTTATCACTTATGTCAATAACCCATGCTAATGTCTCATCATCATTTTCCTTTAAACAAACATCACTTAATTCAATAATAATTTTACTAAGTGTTTCAAATCTGGCTTGTTCTATTAACCATGTTTGATGAGCAAGTTGTTCGAGTGAATAACAGATAGAAATTCTTCCTCTTTGTGATTTAATTGTATCATTGAATTTTGTTGAAGACATTGTATTAGGTTTATAAATCCATTCAACTTCATTAATAGTATTATTATTTGGTATTTTTCTTTTATTCTCTAGTGTTGGAGGAATATTTAAATAACATTTTACTTTGTCAATATTTACTGTCTTAAATGCTGAAGCAATCCAATCAATACTTTGAGAAATACCTTTTTTTCCTATATGAATTGAATAAGATAAAGAATCAATTTTTGAACATATCTCATCAAATGAATATCCTTCATAAATGCTAATCCATTCATTAAACTCTCCATTATTTTTATATAAATATTGACAAAACATTGGCGTTTTACTAAGAGTTAATCCAAATTCAAACCAATCTTCAGGTAGTGATAATAACCATGAATATTTATCAAAAAAAACTTTGGGACAATCAGATATCCAACTGTATGCTAAACACGATTTTGCGTTAATCAATAACTGTGCCATAAACCATCTAAAAGCTATAAAATAACGAGAATCTTTTTTTACCCTTAAATGACCTATGTTAGAAAGAAGGGATGAAGTAACAGATGGAGGTATATTGATGAAAGGACCATAAATAATTCCTTTATCTAAGTCAACAGATATAACTCCTGGACGAATGATAGATTCAGTTGATACTACTCCAATAAAATAAGAAGATAATGTAGTTATTTCATCTAATGTGCAAGGAGCTTTACAAAATGAAGTATATTCAAATGGAACAATAAAGTCTAATAGTTGTAGTAATGCAAAAACGACTGTTGTAGTACATTTAGATGTTAAAATAATTCTTTTATTTATTAACAAAGCTAAAAAAAGTCCAATAAGTTGAGTTGGACCAAGAGAATTAAGTAAAATTGAAGGAATATGTAAAGATGTGTAAGAAGGTAATGATTGGTTATGAATGAAATAATAACAAAGATGATAATATGGTTGATTCATAGTAATTTGAAGAGTTGTATCCATTTGATTATAAATAATATGATATTGATTTCCATCAAATATAGGACAAATACAATTTGATTTAATAACTTTAATAGTCGTATTTGGTATTATTCCTTTTCTCCATTTAAGAATTCCATTTTTAAATAATGACAATGATTGAATCTTTGTTGTATTTGTAATATAAACAGATGAATAAATTAATGTTTCACCAACAATGCTTTGTGTTTGAATTGGGTATTTTTTTGTTAAAGAGTGATGTGGAATTAGCTTAATATAAGTATTTCCTACACACTCATCATGAGTAGTACAAAATGATATAGTAAATCCATTTGGTACTTCATTAAAAGGACTATATAAAATAAGTATAATATTATTTTTTAATATTTTAATTAATATTTAAATTGAATCAAACATTTCATATAAAAATGCGTTATACCAATAATTTTCCATTGGAATAATAACTTTAAATACTTTTGTATTAATTCTAACAAGTGCATAATAATCTTCTTTTCTTTTATCAATAATACAATTATAAATTTGAAACTGAATAACACATTTTTCTTGTTTGTGACATAATTCCATTGTTTCTTCCTTCTTAAAAACTTTAGTTCTTTTAAATTTTAATAATCTTATGTTTTTTTAATTACTTTTATTATCTTTTAACTTTCTTTGCAAATCATTCAAAAAACAAAATTATTACTTGAAAATAACAAATTTATTTAAAATTAAATAGTCTAACACCATAACACTGAAGACATTGTTGATTTGACTTCTTTTACCCATATTGGTAAAGACCATTGATATAATTCATCAAAGTCTGTTTGTAACTGATTTGTTGATATGTCATCAAATAATTTAGTGTTTAATAATTGTGCTTCAGATAATGAACAGTCAGAAAGAATTGGTAATACTTTTTCAGAATGATTAATCAATATTTTTAATTTAGACTCTTGAAGATATTCTCTATAACTATCTTCATCCCATATTTTAAATGCATCTGGTAAGTCTAATGAAGAAATTGGTCGTTGAAGAATTTGTTTAAGAGAATCTAACGAATTTACTAAAGAATAAAGGAGATTAGTATTTCTGTTATGTAATAAACGATGAATAATTCTTCCTAACAACTGGAATAAATTAAAATTATTTGATGTGAGTTGGTGTGGAGATGAATATAAAATAAATGTTGAAATTAATGCATTTGATGCTGATGGAGATAAATCTGTTGCAAAAAGAGATGTATTATAAAGAACTGCTGATACTGATGAAAGAAGAGCTGGTGGATAATCTGGATATAAATAAGGTAATAATAAATCAAAAATATTTGGTTGTGGAAATGATGTTTGTGATGTCTGTAATAATCCTTGCATAACAACCATTAAACTATTCTGATCTGTTGTTGTTAATAATGATAAATGGTTTAATAATAACGTTTGGTCACATTCTTTGAATGATAAATAAGTAATAAATAATGGTAAAGATATATTCTTCAATGGTCTGGATAACAGTGCAGCAAAAGCATCTTGTGTTGATAATGAAAGAAATGATGTCTTAATTTGATTCTTAATACTATCAGAATATAAAAGTAATGTCAGTAATAATGAATATTCATCAGAATAATCAAATGAACATTTCATCACTTTCATTAAATATTGTGAAGAGAGAGATAATGAAAGTTGTGGTTGTTTATATAAAGGTTTAGATAAACAAAGAAATAACAATGGATTATAATCTGGATATGAACTAATTACATATAATGTAAATGATTCAAGAATATTATTTGATAAAGATGGTAATACTAGTGGAAGTAATTTCATGATTAAAATGATATGATTTGAACTTTCATACCAGTCTCTTTTTTTAAAAGATGTTATAGCATCACTAATAAATTGGATACACTTGTTCCGTATTGACTCATGACTAATAAAATTTTGATATAATTCTATTTGTTCTTGTTCTTCACATCTAATAGTAATCGATTCAATGGAATCAAATATTTCTTTGCTTTTACTCTGGTCATATTCTTCAATAATTTGATTGATGTTTTTAGATATTCCACTTCCCATACAAAACTTTCTCACAATCTTGAGATTTTTTCATGAAATTTTAAATATTGATTTTTTTCTAGAGAAAAAATATCACCTATTATTGTTTTATACAACGAAAATAAACAAAATTTTATATTTTTGTTATAAAACACAAAATTCTATTTAAACAATATAAACACTTTGAATCAATGAAATGAAAATTATTATCCTTTTTTTAATGGAAATATTTTTTTTATTCAAAACAATTGAATTACAAGAAAATAAATAAATAAATAGGGAGGATTTAATAGGTATTGAAGAAATAAATTAATCTATACGATCATTAGTGAAATTTTCATACTTAAAAACGAAAAGAATATTCAAAAAAGATTTTTCAACTTTTAATAGAGATTTATAATAACATTAATTAAAAAAGTAATAATAAAAAAATAAAAGATATTATTATGAAGTTAATTATCTATTAACACAAAAAATAAAATTGTTATTTATCTAATTTTACTTTCGTTTTTATTAAAAAGTAATAATAACTCAAAAACTATAATACGAACAAGATTAATTCATTTCAGATGAAATAATAATCAAAGAAGTAAGAATAATGGAAATGAACGGGAAAAAGTAGGATTATTAGTTAAAAATAAAAGAAAACCTACAAATTTAAAAATATTAAAAAAATATAAAAATAATAACATTATTTCATGCACCCCATTGTTATATTATTCTTGATTAGTATTTGTCTTGCAGAGTGTGACAGTAATCAATATCTCAATAACAGAGGAGATTGCTTAGAATGTGATGGAGTATATCCTGGATGTAATAGTTGTGACTCTACTAAATGTACTTCTTGTAAACCAGGATATAAACAAATTCCATCACAAGACGCAGCAGTTAGTTGTGAATGTTTGTTAAAGTTAATGAAAAATATTATTATTTTAGTTTAATATTAAATTTCAATAGATTTAGATGGGTTTACTTCAGAAGACAAAACAAGTTGTAGTACTGGATTTATCAAAAATTCAAGTTCAAGCTCATGTGAATGTTTGTTTTAATTTAATTAAAACATGAGAAATAAAATAATCAAATAGATTGTTTAAATTGTGTTACTGGTAGTTGTGATTCACAAAATAAATGTACAAAATGTTTACCTGATTATTTCTTAAAAGAAGGATATTGTTATACTTGTTATAAATGTAAATCAGGAAAGTGTGCTTCTATTACAGGATGTACAGAATGCGAAACAGGATATTATTCCAAAGATGGATTTTGTAATTGTTTGTTTTATTTATTCCCTCTTTGTTAATATTTTATATTCAAATTATTAGCTTGTGGAGCTTGTAAGTCTGATAAATGTGGTGATTCTGGTTGTACAGAATGTGAAGATGGATATTATTTAAAGGATGGATATTGTACTAGATGTGAGAATTGTGAAGGTGCATGTTCAAATAGTGAAGGATGTGCTATGTGTGAATTCCATTATTATGAAGATGAAGGAATGTGTTTGAGATGTAGTCTTTCATGTAAAGAGGGATGTGATAAAACAGGATGTATTGATTCGAATTCTGCATCTCTTTCTTTTATTTCATTGGCTTTGATTATCGTTTTTATCTCCTTCTTTTAAATGAAATTTGAATAACAAAACTATTCTTTGATTTTAATAATAATAGAAAAAAAACAAAAAAAATTAATAACAATAATAAATAAATCAATAAACTAATCATGATTCAAATCACATATTTGATTTTGCATACGTTGTGTTCTTTTTAAAATTAATTCTTCTACTTTTGCATCAGAAACACCAATATCTAATTCAGAATGATTTCCTGATTCATCATCTGCTTTAAGAAGAAGTCTAGTAATTTGTTCAAAGGTAATTCTTTGTTCAGGCTCTTGTTTCCATGAGTCACTAATTACTTCTTTTAATATTTGAGGCATAGTATCACCTAAAGGTAATCGTTTTCCACTTTCTACATAATTTTTAATTTCAAATATTGATTTAAATTCTTTATAAGGTTCATCTTGGTAAAAAACTTCCCATGCAGATATACCAAAAGAATATACATCACTTGCAAAAGAATATCTATCAAAATAAGTTTCAGGAGCAGCATAAATTGGAGTACCAAGTCCTTTGTCTTCATTATTACTTTTTTTCTTTACTACTCTTGAAGTACCAAAATCAGTAATTTTTACACAACAAGCAGAGTCTGCATATAATGAATTAACTAATAAATTGTCAGGTTTTAAGTCTAAATGAAGGATAT